GAATCCATAGCGTTAAAAACATGCTGACCTGTTGCAGTTCTGATTTCTTTGCAGCAGAAAGCCTGCTTTTGTTTTTTTCATGGAAACTAAGAGGGGGTGTTTTCTGAGCAGTGCCTTGAGTCCAACAAGGGGTACCCCAAGTCTAAAAAAAGCACTTCCTTAAACATTTAGACATAGTTACAGTCAACACTACAAGAGGCTTCACATCTAGGATCTGGATCTGGCAGGTTTAGGCAGAAACCGCTAACAGGGACCCAGTATATTATATGTACAGTTTAACTAAAACAAAAACTTACCTCCAGTTCACTGTCCAAACTACAGATCTGACACCTGCACCTTGGTGGGTCCCTTAACTTTTGGCAACACCTCACCCGCTTTCAGCATCCAGGCTAAATCTAACTTTCTTTTTTACCCTGCTTCTTGCAAGCATACTCTTTAGCTGAGGGAGCCAGGCTTTAGTCTGGAGAAGAGAAGACTGAGGGGGGATTTAATAGCAGCCTTCAGCTACCTGAAGGGCAGTTACAGAGGGGATGGAGCCGGGCTGTTCTCAGTGGTGGCAGAGGACAGAAGCAACGATCTCAAGTTGCAGAAGGGAAGTTTAGGCTGGATATCAGGAAAAGCTTTGACTAGGAGGGTAGTAAAGCACCGAAGCAGGTTACCCAGAGAGGTGGTGGACTCTCCATCCCGGGTGGGCTAAAAGACAAAGCTTTGGCTGAGGCCATGTAGTTGGGGCTGGCCCAGCTTTGACGTGGGGCTTGGAGAAGCCCTCCGGAGGTCCCTTCCAGCCCTCAGTTGACGATCTCCAAGGGGGGCATCACAGAGCAGTCCCCAGGAGGTGCCTGAGCCTCCGCCACAAGCAAAGAGGGGCAGTATTTCCTCCGCTCCCCAGCCTCTTACCCAGCCAGAAGTGCAGCTTGTAGAAGGTGCCGTTGTTCCTCTTGACGGTGTAGAGCACCAGGTAGGCATCTCCCACGTAGAAGTTGCCATACAACCTCTCGGGCACAGGCACCAGCTCCAGCTTCTCGATCCTCCAGACCTGCAGCCCGCTCTTCTGGCCGGCGCTGGCAAACTCCTTGTGGTACAGCTCCTTGGCCATGGCAAGCGGACGGGGCGAGCAGACCGCCGGCGGGGCGCTGAGAGGCAGGCAGGCAGGCAGGACAGGACAGGACGG